TTTATTCTGTCCTTACGTACAAATGTCATGCAAAGACATCGTTAAATTGCATTCGATAGAGGTCAAAATGGATATTTCTGTTGAAATATAGTAACCGGAAATTTTCATGATTACAATACTGCCTTTACCTCGTACAAGAAAATAAAAAGCATGAACTTTTGGATTCCTCATTCTTTGCACTGCATTAGAGCAAAAGTTATTCCATATTGCATGCTAGAATTACTCACTGTGAGCAGAAAAAATTGCATTTAAACATCCAGTTTGAGCAAAGTTATTTCTTATCAAGGGCACCCTTAACTCTTAACAGTATCTGATACCCTTATCAGAAGTAGCAAAATGATTAGAAGAAAACATGCTTCAGTTTAAAAAAATTACAGATCCAATATTTAGAAACTCTTACAGTCTGCTAAAAAATACTCTTACAGTCTGCTAGAATAGTTATAGTAGCCACAATCTACACTTACTTTCATTTGTTAAAGATCCATTCCCCCTTCCAAAAGAAAAAAAAAAAAAAAAAAAACTTGTTTTCCTCATATCTACACTGTTGGCTGTTAAAATTGCAAAATCAGGAAGGAACGATCTGACGAATGTCAAAATCACATGAAAGGAAAAGAAGTTGTGATATGCAAATGATTAGTATTTCAGCTCATTTACATCATCTAATTAAGTATTCCATAGAACTAGTGCTAATTTCTACTCCATTTATTAACTAAGATTATCCATCATTATTTCACTATTTTCTTTTGATTGCCGAAAATTCAGGAGAGAAAAATCAAAATTTCCCGGAATTGGTTGAAGTTCCCCAAATATTTGGACCCCAATCCTTTTAAGTTGATGTAAAATGAGGACACTTATTTGCCTGAGTAACTGAATATGACAGATTTTATACGCATCCAGAGAGTTGTTACAAATGAATTTCTGTTCTTCTCAAGAATGATTACATTTACCAAATTATCCTTAGATGACGAATGTATTAGCATCTATGTCATAAAGTAATTCAATGAATGTTGTCATTTTTTACGTGAATCATAGAAGTAAAACAAGTGGATGTTTATATCTTGACTAAGAATAAATTCATCAAAATGTATGCGATTAACTCAACAAAATCACAATGTAATTTTATGGAAGTATATCCACTGTTGGCCATTAAGATTGCAATACCATGAAGGAAAGCAAATACAAAAAAGCTATTTGTTGCATGTAAACAGCATGGCATGAAGACAAAATGATTAAATTTGTAAGCATTTTGGAGGTTTACAGAGGTACGAAATTAGTAGAAACAGCCCTTACCCCATTAGGCATGGAGTCAAAGTGGGCTTGGATGACAGAAATGGGCAACTCAATCCATACTGCTATGCCACATTTCATTAACCGTATTAGCTGGAGATAATATGTATAATAGATATAAGTCTATGCCATATACATACATATAAGTCTATGCATGACTTATATGATAATACATATAAGTCTATGCCACATTTCATTAACCGTATTAGCTAAAGAGAGATGGCAGGCCAGTTAGTAACCTGCAGAAACGACATCTGAAGCACTGCATAAAAGAAAAAATTTATAGTGGATTTCTTATTCGGAAAGTGCTTTGTAAGGTTGGTGTTTGCTCAGAATATCATGCTATGCCTCTAATAAGAGGAAATGCTTGCCAGCAAGTTTCGAAATTTGATAGAGGAAGGATCGTTGCCTATAGAAAGTGTAAATTATTGTTTTGTGATATCGCCGGTCAGACTAATCGACATCCAACCACTGTTATGTGATTATGAAATCAATGGATTGCTGAGGGTCATACTGAATGACATGCAGGATCTCAGCGCTCTCCCATAACCAATGCCAAAGAGGGCAGACATATTGTGAGGTCAGCCCTGCAAAGCTGTATGACCACCTCACGGACCATTAGTCAGGAAATGGGCATGTTTGCAGCATGCCCAATATCAGCTTGTAAGGTGCATCGATGTTTACAACAGCGTGGACTATCAGCAGAGTGACCATTACTTCAGCTTCCCTTGACAATGCAGCATAGAGAGTGACAGTGACTCTGGTGCACCAAACGGCAAAGCTGGGTACAGGAGTGGCACAATGTTGCCTTTTCAAGCGAGTCCCCGTTTTACATGCAGTATTCTGATGGCCGTATACCTGTCTGGAGTGTCCGAAGAGACCGTACAACGCTTGCTTGCATTCGATATTAGTACAGGGGCCCTGGACCTGGTGTGATGGTTTGGGCAGCCACTGAGTACGTGTCACGCACATCTCTAGTCTTTGAGGACCCAAACACCATGTTCCAACAAGATAATGCAAGACCACATGCTGCAGATGTCCTGACCTTCCTCGATAAACAGGGTATTCGATTGCTGCCCTGGCCTGCCTGCTCTCCAGATCTGTACCCCATTGAAAACACCTGGTCATGGGTTGCTGAGAGACTGGCCTGCCATCTTTCTCCAGCTAATACGGTTAATGAAATGTGGCATAGACTTGAAGCAGTATGGATTGAGTTGCCCATTTCTGTCATCCAAGCCCACTTTGACTCCATGCCTAATGGGGTAAGGGCTGTTTCTACTAATTTTGTACCTCTGTAAACCTCCAAAATGCTTACAAATTTAATCATTTTGTCTTCATGCCATGCTGTTTACATGCAACAAATAGCTTTTTTTGTATTTGCTTTCCTTCATGGTATTGCAATCTTAATGGCCAACAGTGGATATACTTCCATAAAATTACATAGTGATTTTGTTGAGTTAATCGTATACATTTTGATGAATTTATTCTTAGTCAAGATATAAACATCCACTTGTTTTACTTCTATGATTCACGTAAAAAATGACAACATTCATTGAATTACTTTATGACATAGATGCTAATACATTCGTCATCTAAGGATAATTTGGTAAATGTAATCATTCTTGAGAAGAACAGAAATTCATTTGTAACAACTCTCTGGATGCGTATAAAATCTGTCATATTCAGTTACTCAGGCAAATAAGTGTCCTCATTTTACATCAACTTAAAAGGATTGGGGTCCAAATATTTGGGGAACTTCAACTAATTCCGGGAAATTTTGATTTTTCTCTCCTGAATTTTCAGCAATCAAAAGAAAATAGTGAAATAATGATGGATAATCTTAGTTAATAAATGGAGTAGAAATTAGCACTAGTTCTATGGAATACTTAATTAGATTAATGAGATAGTTCATAAAAGCAAGCAACTTGTAAACTGGGGGTTTTCAAAAAACATGAATCCATTGTTTATGTATAAATAAGTAAATATTCCTCTTCATAAAAAATTTGGTTTGGATATTTTGACACATTTGCATATTTCACACTAGAAAGAAATAATTTATGACACCCTTTCAGTATCAAATCAGAAGCAAAAGAATCAAATAGCAAGGTATTTTTTAAAATTAGATAAGTTAACAGTATTTTGAGAAATGATGCAGTTCAAGCCAGGCTCAAAACCTGGCTATTTTCGTGATTTTCTCCATGTCCAACATAAATATGAACTAGTTTTTCTCAGAAAAATCTCCATGAATGCATTTCCCTTTTAAGCATATAGCTCTACTGTGCTTTTCAGTAATGCAATAAATTCTAAATTTCACTAAAACAAAATAAAATTAAATAATTTTTGCAACAAAAATTATAAAATACATGAAATTAGAATTTTAAAATTATTAAATTATTTCATTGTCATGTTTTAGTTAAAAATTATTAGTTTAATAAAAGTAAATATTCAGCATGCAAAGGCAATTTATGTTTAATATTAAGCTGCATTAAAAACTCTTAGTTTAACTCCTGTAACTCTTCAACTTCATAAACTCTAGAAATAATTTCCTATATCAAATTTCAATCTTGTAAACTTAAATTTTCAGCAAAATATGATGGAATATGTTTGAATGATGTATGCATAACCATCGATAAACTTTGTCCTTAATTACAAGGATAAATGAACACATACAGTCAATTTTCAAAATTAACAAAATGGATGATATAGTGCATCCAGAATCTGTAATTAAAAGAATAAAAAAATTAAATTCCTGAATCTAAATATCCATAAAGTATTTAAGTTTTTCACGAGTATTAATTTCAGTATTATTCAACCTTTCTAACTATTACAGCTTCAATCACACTAAAATGAAAATGATAGTGATATTATCTTTAGAAACATCCTCTAGTTTTTCTTAGTCAGCAATGTGACATTATACTTCCTTAATAAAACAAATTTAGTCCTGCAATTAAATTCCTAATTTGCCCTTTGAATAATTTGTATTGAAATGAGAATAATGATAAAAACTTAAAAATTACCTAATTATTAAAAACAATATGAATTTCATGTAGGAAAAGATTTTGTAGAAATAATGAAAATATTGAATGCTCAGATTAGAAAAATTGATGGAAACAAAGGGGTGGGATGATTATACATTTTTATATTACATGAAAATATATTCCAAAAAATATGAAAAAAAAAAGTACGTTTGAATTATACTTACCATCATGGGAGTAATTTTTTTCTTTTTAAAATATTCATTTGTTTTTAGTTTCTTAACCATATCTTTCAAATTAGAAATTTCTGCTTGATAACTAGCCATGTATGTTTCATACATGTTAATCTCAAAGGACAATACCTGAAATTTTAAAAGTAAAGCATTATGAAAAACTAAGATAAGAGTTGATATTTTAGTAAAATTTTATTTTAGCATGGACAGCAGTTCCTACATATCATTAATATTTTATTTTAACAAGGACTACAGTTTATACAAATTATATGCAAAGAAAAGAAATAATAGTACCTTGTAAATTAACATGGAGAAAAATTTATCTTATTTCATAAAAAATTATTATTTTAAATGTATATGGTTATGAAGAAAAACTATTCATACCTTTAGCTTCTCAGTTTTTTCACTTGATAACTTTTTTTGTTTTATGCCTGTAGAATATTTTTTTTGAAATTCTTTTTGCTGTGCAGTTAGATTTTTCATGTGATTAATTAATTTAGACATATCAGAAATTTTGTTGTTTTTTACTTTGAACTTCCTTAGACTTTTTCAAAAGATGTTTCTGTAGTGTTTGATATTTTTCCAGAATTTCATATTTCTCAGGATCAGGATCAGTTCCCTAAAAACGTTTTTAAAAAATTTTTAATAATGCTAAATGTAATATTAAAAAGCAGTTCAGATAATTGCGATAGAAACAGTGCATTTTTATACTGTATCCAAATATAAAGGTTTATCACATGCATACTACAGCTCCATTAAATAATGTGACAGAATAGCTTAATATACACAGTACAGATATTTTAATCTAGTTAGATAATGATTAATTTTACAAGTTTTTACACTTACAGTTTTAATAGAATAGCTTGATATGCTCAATATATATATTTTAATTCATTACACAATTAATTTTATAAGCTTTCATACCTGAAATTTTAATAGAGTAACTTAATGCGCATAGTATAGGTGTTTTAAACCAATTAGATTGTAGTTAACTTCATACACTTTCACACACACAGTTCTAATAAAACAGCTTGATATACTAAGTATAAATATTTTAAATCAGTTAGATAACAGTTAACAAAAGCTTTTAGACTGCATTTCTAATAATACTTACACAAAATTCTCAGTAAATGATTTGCATCAAAACAAAGCTGTTTCCAGTTAAAATATGAAGTTGATTATCCCACAATTTCTTGTATCTCACCCAGATTTATTTCCCATTATTGTTGATAAAATAAAATATATTTATCTTGCAACATATTTTAGAAAATCATTGAAACAGTTTATATATTATTAGAAATGTATATATTTATATTATGTCCTAATTGCTTGAAAACAAACAGTTTGAATAAAGAGACTACAATCATTCTATTTTTTAATTAGGTAAATAACTTCAGCAATTCTGTACATTTTAAGTTCATAAAATGAAGATATATTTTTCTCTGCTTATGTTTTTATATAAATAAGTGTCATTCAATTAGAAACATAATTATTTGATAAAATAAATATTTATATTAACATAAACATATCTTTAATTCCTCTTTCATGATTTTATACACTTCTGTGCTAATCATAACTATAGCTTAAAAATTTAATATTGCATTGCTGTATATTAAAATACACTTTCTTCATTTTAAAATTACTGAATATTTGTTTACATTCGAGATCTAGAAAAAGATTCCATGAATCATGGATTTCATTTCTTTTTCTGTAACCATTTTTATAATAGCTTCCCTGCCCCAATATTAGGTTACAAATAATAGTTACAGTATTAAAACATATATATGTGTATATCACACTAGTTTACAGTGGGAAATACAAATGAAAACTACTATGTTATTTAATTTACAGAAATATGGGTATATTTATCTAGCATTTTTTATATATGCCAAGTCTTCACTATTTAAGCAGCAGGTAACAAGTAAGTACCTCTTTTCTTTCCTTAAAAAATTGCCCTGAAAACATTACTAAGGTTGCCTTTTTGCTTAATACATTGGCATGTTCTCTTGCAATGAAGGATGCCTTCTAGATATTAAGATTAAGGGTATAGTCCAGATATGTTATAAACAGTTGTTAAATAAATTTTTGATTTAAAGATGTTATGAAAAGTTTGTAAAAAAACTTTTGCATTATCCTAATTAAAATGCTGTGAAAATAGCTGTTTATATTTTTCTAGTAATATTTATATTTAGTTTCATTCTATCCCTATTTTGGAGAATTTTTTTTTCATTGTTTAATGTTATCAAAACAGACGTGGATATATGTGATCTCAATTAAGCAGCGCTTAATGTATTCAAATAATCTAACCTAGGCAAAAAAGATTTGAAGTCTATTTTTATAACATTAATAATAATTACTTTTTAAATATTTTTATACTAAAAAACTGAAAATTACTTTGAGCAACCTCCAACGATGAACATTTGTTGGCCTTTGTATTGTTCTTTCTAATGCAGAGTTTTTAAACCTTTCTTTGTTGAGCTCTTGTTTCGCATATGTGAAACTTTCCCTTAGTTTTTCTAAGTCATTTATTTTGCATGTTAATGAATTCTTCTCTCCAGTCAGTCGAAGTATTTCTAAATGTAACAGTTTTGTAGAATTCTCAAGATTTAAATAGGCCTCCTTTTCTCTCTGAATTACTTTCTCTGATAAGTGTATTTTTTCTTCAAGATCAGAAATTTTTGCTCTTTGACTCTGCATTTGTGAGCGCAGTGTAAGACATTCTTCTGTTTTCTAAATGATAGAAAAATAAACTGAATATATAAATTTTTCATATGCTCAAGGGAAAAAATAATACAAATAAACATGAAATAAATTAGTTATATTAATTGTATATATCAGGCATACAATTTTTAATTGGTATGCTCTTCAAATATGAATAAAAACTTATATAAAATTATTTTATAATATAAAAAGGATAAAACATGAAATAAAATGTAAAAATACTGTCAACATGCTGTCTTTTAAAAAATATATCACCTTTAAGAAAATTGTCTGCACAGACACAATGATTGTGCACTGAGTTTTTCAGTTTTTCTTTTTATTGAATGCCATACTTACTTGAGTGAACCATACTTTACTCTGAGGAAAATAAATAAACAAATAAGTTATTTAAGATTTTTAAAAATAAAGAAGATCTGATATAATATTTGCTTGCCAATTATTTTTAATAAATACAGTCAATGTATTTATTTTCATTTCTTTTTTCAATTTCTGATAATTAATAACAGTTTTTTTAATAGTTTGCCTGTGTTTGGCAGTGACTTTAATGCCAAACAAGAGCCAATTATTGAAGAAGCCATAATTCAATGCCAGTTGTTAAAGAAGTTTCATTATCTATGATCTTATGATTTTCAGACTGAAAGTGGTGCAAGAATTATGTATTATTTTTGGAACTTCAAAATATCCGCTAAAGAATAGTTAAAGGCATAAAATAATCATAAATTACATTTCTGCAGAATATTTGTATAAAAAGTAGAAAAGAAGTACACTGACACACACTGTAATAACAAATTTATATTGAAGATAGCACACTTAACTTAAATGCAACTAGAATAAAACACTAAAATTATATGCTAATAATATAAAACTAGAAAAAGGCTGACTTAGTCATTTCTCAAAAAGTAAATATGGTAATAAAGTATAATATGTTAATACAGAGCATATGTAAAATATGGCAATAAAAGGCAGTAAATATAGTAATTTTATTATAAGAAGGTGATAGTTTTTAAAATATGCAGAATTCAACTTTAAGAGGCTGATGGTAATATTAACCTTTTAGCTACTAACGGAACATATATGTCCCACTAAAATATTAAGTATTATTGCTGGGTTAAAAAGTACTTAGAATATCCTGAATGTTGAGAATCGTCTTCCAATAGTTGGAAAATGAAGACACTGCTGTGCTTGTTGTACACAAACATAGAGAAAAGAACAAATATGAATTGCCCAATGTGTAATGTTGGTTTATGCAAAGAATGCTTTAAACTGTACCATAAGATATGAAATATATTTCATATAGTAAAGTTTTTCAGAATAATAGAAGTACTTATAGTAAGTTAATCACTACGTGTGGGACACATGTAACTACGACTAGGACATGTGTCGGAACCTTTGGCTTGAAAACAGTTTGTCAAAAATAATCCCAAATGCTAAATTTACCTTATTTATGACATATTTTGTTCACTTGGATAGAAAACTGGGTAATTGTTTTTAAATTCATAGTCAAAGGGTTAAAGAGAAGCTCAATGCATTTTGGGAAGATGATACAGAGATTTCTTTTCAAGAAGCAAAAACATTCGGCAATATACTATAGAGATTTAAAAATTATTATTTCAGTAGATAGAGAATCAAAAAAAAAAAAAAAAAAAAAAATTCTATTAAACTTTTCTTCTGCTTTTTTGGAATGACTGATCACAATATTTGGTCAAAATTAAGCTATTGAAAGTGTTCTAAACAAATCCTGACACTGCAAACATTTAGAGTTTAGTTATTAAATTACTGAAAATATGCAAATTTTTAAATCCTTCATGATATTTTCTTATCATTTTTTGTATTAGTAATTCTATATTTCATGTTGTTAAACACTAAATTTAAGCGAATTTTGTATTGCATTTTAGTACGTATATTTATTGCCCCCCCCCTGCTCAGCCAAATTAAAGTATAAGCTAATTCAAATCCTATCCACTAGTTGAACATGAGACATATAGTCAGACATATAAATTAACTCTTAAACATACTGTCACCAGCCTTCATCAGCAATTCAGTTTGATTCAAAATTTGCCCAGCTCTCTCTAAGCAAAATCTGCTTTTACATCTTTATGGTATTACATGTATGTATAAATGTCTGTGTCTTGAATACACATCTAAAAAAAAGGTGTACCCTTCTGTTATTGGGACTGAATTCAAAAACGAAATATATATATGTTTGTATGTATATAGTACATTTATGTATACACACACGTATATGCACATACATACATAAATTTCTGAATCTGGTACCAATAACACAAGAATACTAAAAAAAAAAAAAAAAAAAAAAAAAAAAAAAAAAAAAAAAAAAAAAACGTTCTAATAACTTTTAACTATTGTGCTCAATGGATGAAATCACTACAGAACTTTCTAACTTACCAAACACAAAAATGAATCATAAAAAAGTTTACTATAATTATTATAAATTATTTTAATTGGAATACAAACATAAATTAGCTTTCTCTGCAGTGTTTCTATTTCCTTTTCTTTTGCAGCTATGAGCTGTAAACGCAAACCATTTTGATATTCTTCGTGCTTGAATTGCATTTCCATGTCTTTGTGCTCTGACACTTCTTTTGCAGTTTTTGAAACTAATTTCTTATTTTGAAAATTCAGTGATTCCCATTTATTTTTCCAATTAATAACTTCTTCACTTTTAGAATACAGAGATTCTTTTAGTTCATTGACACAATTATCAAGGATATTGATTTTTTGTTTCATCTGATCTCGGCTCTCCTGTAAAATAATAGTATAACGATAAATCCTAAATGAAATGCTCATTTGCATGCATATACTCATTATATTCTTAAAAAGATTATATTCATATAAAGTAATGAGTTTACCTCTACATCTTTGTATTTTTGGCAAAACATTTTTCTGTCAAAAACTGCAGCACTAGTTATTTCAGTTTGTTGATTAAGTTTACTTGTTAATTCAGCAATTTTTACTTGCATCTGAGTTGCTTTATCTTCATGATCACAGAGACTGTTATTCAGCCTTTCAATCTGCATAAAATAAGGGGCAAAATACATTACTCTATTGTAAAACAAAATATCAACTATTAGAAACTGTCATACTTGCTTTTGCATTCCAATTGTTATAATCTTATATCCAAGATCTTTGAAGACTGCATTTCCAGTTTTTATAATAAAGATGAGAAATCTAAAAGCATATGTTATTTTTTAAAAAATATTTCTAATAAAGTGCAGATGTTGCATAAAACATATTTTATCAAAGTCTCTCTCTTTCCTCTGCAAATTATTTAATAACAAATTTATAAAAATAAATAATAATTCATTAAAAAATAAATAGCTAATTATTTAAGAAATTAAATCTAATCAAACATAAAACTGCACAGTTATATGCACTGTGCAGTTTTGAGCTAAATTTTTTTAAAATGAGAAGGAAGAACATGCAATCAGCAACAGCTATTTAACAAGCTGCTTTAACAAGGACATCACGTAAAACAATTTTTACTATTTATGTCCTTAGAAAAGTATGCAAACACATGCTGTTTACCACATATACACCTCATGTACAACAGTTCTTATTTTCTAATCACTCAACTTTTGACAAACTACCTATAGTTTCATAATATTCTATTGTTCCAATTTTTTTCTTTAAAATCTTGGTTGAAATATAAACAAATCATCTTCAATTCCACCCATTGCATCTGAAGTGCCTATTCAACTCTTTTCCTTCACTAACCAATAACCCCTTACGGTAATTTTTCCTTTACAAAAATGCTAGTGCAGACATTATAGGAGTCAATTTTTCCCCATATCCCTTACTCAAAATGTAGGCATTACATTACCATATATGATAATATGTATAATACTGTAGAATACTGACTATAAATAAAAGCCATATTACTGCTTACATACATAACTAATTTAAGAATTTGTTTCATAACTAGCCATTATCATCATTTTGCCTTCCAGTTTCTAAAAACCGAAGACTCAAACCTCTAAATTTTTATGTTGGTATCACCCCCTTAAATGAGTTTTGTTCACCAAAGTATCACATCTTAAAAGAGCTTTGTGACATCAAAATTTGAATAAGAATCAAATTAATTTAATATCTGAAGTACTAAATGTACACAATAAACAGGATTTCATATTAATATAGTCCTACTATAAAACAGCATATTAATGTACACCCCCACATAAGTTAAATAGAAATACCTTTTTTGTTAATTCTTTTATGTCATCCAAGAGCTGAACCTTTATTGCTTCTAAAGTAGATATAATCCTATTTAATTTTTCTATCTGTTGTTTAGAAGTCTTAAGATCTTGACATAAAGTAATTCTTTCTTTTTCCCAAATTACAGACTGATTTGAGTACTTCTCAACCAAAGTTTCCATCTTTAACACATTCTGTTTGAAAATAAAAATTTAAATTTTAAATATTTACTTATATCTGTGTATTACTTCAAAGACCATAGAATCATAAATTTACTATTATTAAAATAACTGGAATTGATAATACATACAAACTTACATTAAGAGAAAAATCAGGAAATTGGAATAATTACAGCCAAGCACTGAAATATATTTCTCCCTTTATGATGCATAAGAGATTTTAAATGTAAAAATGTTTATCTCAATTTAAATCTTTAGAATATTATTCTTGAAAGTATAAGAAATTCCGAGCAAACAGCAGTATGAATTATTTTTAAAATTTAATAAATTAAAATTTTTTAATTAATTAATTAATTTTAGGTTACTTCTAGCCTTGAATCTGAAATAGGCAGTAAAATCAAAGGCAATTGATCAAAAAGATTGTTGTTGATAACACTTTTAAAGTAAAAATTTTAGATTTTAAAAAATTTTTTTATTAGTTACAAAACTATTATAGCCTATTTATTTAGTTTTATACTTGCTCTTGCTTGTATTAGATATTAAGTTCAGTATATATAAGTGATAACAATTTGTTCAATCTCACTTATGGTATTTTCAAATGATGTCAATCTTTTAGTGAGTATGAAAGAAATTTAATAAAAATTGGCAATATTTCAAATTGGCAATAAGAATTTATGCTGCATTTTATGAATTTATATTTCAATACTTAAATTATATTGGATAATATATTGTTGTGGTTTATTAAAACATCATTTTAATATTACATGATTACACATTTAACATAAATATTGTATTTGATTAATGAGCTTCATTTTCTACAATGTAATCATAAAACCTATCAACAGAAATTTGTTTGTAAGATTGAAGAAATATTTTTAAGACCATTTTTTGTTTCAGGAAATGCACATTTCAGACTCTATATTTAATTCAAATAACAAAATTGAAAAGAAATTCAAATGTTTTAAAATATTTGAACATATTATTTTAAGGTATTTGGCATAAAGAAATGTATAACATAAAATTTATCTTTTAAGTTCATCATTAACACTTAAAGATGGGAATAATGAGAAAACATACGTATATGATACAAAAATAAGACAGAATGATGTGTTTGACATTTTTAATGCAAATATGATGTTTAAAAATTCATAATAAAAAAGCCTAACCTTTGCTAGCAATTCTTTTTCTCTGATTAATGCAGAAACTTCTGATTCGTGTTGTGCTTGGTATTTTTTCAGTTTCAACATTTCTAAAATAAAATATATTTCTTCTAAATTTTTATGAATATAATATAGCATACTGTAATCAAAAGCCTGTACAGAATAGATTTTACAATGAAAAATATAACTTAACATAAACATATGCAATAAATTTTATATAAAACAATTTATAAATAATTACTATTTTTTATACAAAAGTTAGTACTAAATTATACCTCTTAGTTGAAGATGAGTAAATAAAAATAACATATTAGAGTAATTAAAATATTTGCTATAAACTTAATTAAGTATAAATTACAGTAAATTAAATTTTAATACTCCGAGTTAAAAACAAAAATAAACAAAATTTAATGCTTAGAAATGTTGTATCTATTATAATACTTGCCTTGTTTGATGCTTCATAAGTGAACAAGCAAAATATGGTTGAAGGCAAAGACTATTGAATAAAAACATATATATATAAAAGTGCACAAGGTAAACAAATGTTATAAATAGAGAAACAGAGGTGAAATGAAAAATACAGGTGCAATAAATTCATAGCAACTAAAGAAATTATAAACTATAAAACTGATATTTAGGATAAAGTAATTTTAGAAAAATAAATAAATGAATAAATAAAATTTTAAATAAAAATAATAGCAGGCATGGATAATATTTTTTATTAAAAATAATAGCAGGCATGGAAATTAGGTATGATTTAGAGTATTTAAATTAAGAAAAAACAAAGATATTCCATTTGCCAAATGTATAACATGTAAAACAAATTAAACAATACTGCACTTAGTCATTAAATTAATTTGATTTACTAATATAAAATCATGTTGACATTAATTTTTAAATATTTAACAAATTTTACACCTATTTTCTTTATTTATAAATTACAGTGATTAACTGCACAGATAGTAACAAAAATTTCAATTGAAATGCAAATAATAAATTCATAACCTATTAAGAATCTGAATTACCTCCTTCATAATTTAGCAATTGCTTTCTTAGTGATTCATATTTAGACTCAATATTCTGCTTTTGGTTCTGCGCAGTCAGGAATTTCTGCAGCAATGACTCTTTCTCATTTATACTATTCACCAATTTTGTGTTTAAATTCTTCATATCATCATCTTTTTTCTACAAAAACAATTCATCTTAAAGGAAGTACCTTTTTTTAAAATGACACATGATATTAAAGATAAAGTAATGCAAATTTTAATTAACAAAAATTCAGATTAAAGCTGAAATAAATTAATATTAAATAAAATTTCATTAGATAACAGTTCATTCAAACCGGTAAAAGAACACATATTTATATCTCAGAAAGCCTTGTGAGTACTATGGATTATATAAGCTAAGGAATCATGATGGATCATTAATTAAGTTATTGCATTTGGTTTGCAAACACTTATCACAATATAGATTACATTACTAGAAACGTTTTAGAAATAATTAATGGCTTGATGCATTGAATTCAAAGCTATCAATATATACTCTATGTGTGTGTGTGTATAAATATGTAAGATAAAAAGAATGTTGATTAGCTTATAATTTAATTTAGCAGTAAGCTTTTAATTCCTCATTTTTAATTTGGGTATTTCCTCTCTGTATTCTAAAAGTGATAATAACTTTTTCGGACTGTGCCATTTCTAGGTTAATCTGCATCAGTTTGCTTGCACAATGCTGATGACATAACAAACTCGGAAATTAAACTCAAAATTTTGAGAACTGAAACCTTTCTAACATAAACCAACATTAACCTCTTGGTGAGCTTCCATATTGGAGTAATAAACACTTTAGCTTCTGCCTCTCTTCCTGTAATGATGCTGTTTTGCTGTGCTGTCTTCCTATCACAAGTATCAAAAATATAAATGTTCTGGAAATTTCATATTTTTGATACTGACAATTAGAGTGCTAAGTGAAATGTGGCCACAAATGTCAATTTAAATAAAAGTAGAATTTAATCTGTCTTGACTGACAAGTTTCTTAGTTATTAGGAATTCAACACTGTACCATTCTATGCAATAAGAATTTTTCTTTTTCAATGTGGATCTTCTAGGTTTTATGAATTCTACATGTTAAGCCATCACCGTTGATATATCTTTTTCTATTTTTTTATTACACACATATATATATATAAATATTCAAATCTCAATTTACCAAGATAATATCAGGACTGCCCATGGTTACTGTTAAAGCCAAGGCCAATCTGACAATAGTTAAAAATCACAGAAAAGGAAAATAACTAATATTGTATGATATTGTAATTAATATATAAATAATGTTAATAACATACATACATTTTTAAACAGTTAATCTAGAAAATAACTTGTTTGTGTAAATTAAATCAGTATTAAAAAAACACTGTAAATAAGGGAAGAATAAACATTATTAGAAATGAAGAAACTAACTTACACCTGAATTTACACCTTGGGATCAGTGTGAAAGAGAAGATTAATGATTGTACACTTTATTTTCATAACTGAGGAATTTACATTTAATAGATAATTTTAATATTTTTTACTATAATTTAGATTATGAACAATTAAATTACATGATGTTGTGGGTAAAACAACTCCCTTTCACTTATAGCAGACCCACCAGAAAGGACTCCCAGTGGAGGGAAAGAGAAGTTGTTACGTAAAAACATACATGCGATGCTCTTGCTGACTGGCTGATGCAGCATGGCTCCTGCTCGTATGAATGAATTGCTTCACCTTTCACCTGCTAATAGCTGATGAATTTCTTGATCTCTGATTTGGAACATCTTTGGATGTTTTATTTCAGATCCTGATATGGGTTGAGTTGATCGGGCTGAATGATGACATCACGAACAACAGTGGTGATATTAGGTGGCAAGTGAGCCACAGCATAGTTAAATTTGGTCTTTTGTTCTGATGTCAGTTTATGAATTACTAATTTGAATATTGTTTCACATATGTGAAAACAAAGAGATGGATCAAGATAAAAGGTGGAATCACCACAGTGAAAATTTTGGAATCAGCCATTATCCAGGTGGAACAAGTGCCAGCAGGAGGAATCAAAATCAAAAGTGTCCATTACTGTAAAACAGTTCAAGTCCAAAAGTCACAATTGAAGGGGTGCATTGTTGATCTGACTCCCATATTTTAATGAAGCAGCATGGGAGAGTATTACGTATAAAAATATAATCTATTCCACATATAGAATTAAATTCATGCTGGGAGCACTGTAGCAGCCTTTCACTCCCCCCTTGACTCACCAGAAAAGACTTTGAGGGGAGAGAGAAATTGTGATGTAAAAATATACACATGATGCACGCCTCTTGCTGAATGGTTGCGTTGATGCGAATTGCATGGCTTGCTCTCCACCCTCGTTCCCTCCCCCACATTCCCCTCTCCAGTCACAACCCCTTCCTCCTCCTCCCCTTCCCTACCCTTTACCCCCTCCTTTTTCACCCCTCCTCCCCCCCTCCTGCCCCCTCCCTCTCCGCCCACGCCCCCCTTCCCCCCCCACCACTCCTCCCCCCCCTTCACCTTTCCCCCTTTTCTTTTTTCTTTTTTTTCTTCCTTCCTTTTCCTCTGGCCCGTTCCTGTCGACTCTCCCCCCTCTTCGTCGTTCTCGGCTTCCCTGATCAGGTCATAGGCTGTCCCTTTCTTCGTTGGGCTAAGGGAATGTGAAGGCAAGCTTTCATATTTTCACTCCGAAATCCATTCTGAATGTGGCAACGGAAATTAGCTAAAAAGACTATAAACAGACCTAAAAAGACTATAACAGACCAGCTTATTGACTGGTTTTCGAGTTCCCTCTCTCTCTTCCCTCTTTAGTGTTACATCGCACGCATGAATTAAGGCTGCAAGACTTTTCTTCCCCCGCCGATTCGGTGATAAAATTTTCTTCAGAGAGTCTCGTGCTTCTTCTTATATAATAGCTTATATTCATAACCTGTGAACGAGATCGACCAGACAGCGCATTTTGTTAAAACTTAACAGGGTATTTATCATTTCTACCAAGTTATGTACTATCCTGCAAGCGTGACGTCGAAATTTCGTTAGTGACTTTTTCGTTGGTTCAAGATTTCACTTCCTTCGATGTCCAGTTCTTCTACGACACATTCGCGAATGTCATTAAATGATTGGTGTTATCTAGGTCTTTTGTGATCAAATATGTATCTAAATTTATATTATTGCATTAATACTATGAATAACTGGGTGTTTCAGAAGATATTAAACGTTCTTTTTTTGTGCAATACATGGGCAAGTCAACATTTATATTTTATCTAATTTTAAGTTATTAAGGTAAACCATTATCAAATCTTAATATTCTCCTCATTCAAAATTATTGCGGCAGCAGTGCAGAAGAAAGAAACACAATTAGCTTAGCTGTGTTATATAAATTATGAGCATCTGGTACCGTGAATTTCTTACATTTTGCAACTGTTTTAATAATCTTTTCTTTTTGTATTATTGTAGGCTAATGTTCGATTTCAAACAAACATTTTCCGAAACTTCTTTCTAACCTATATATATATATAAATATATATTATAACTTATATAATGATATTTTCTCAAATTGCAGTATCAGTGCAAAACAAAGTCTGTATTTTAGATTTTTATCTAAATTTTGGTATATAATCTATCAGTTTATTAAAATCAAATGTTACTCAGCCTATGTTGAGAAACGGCGAATTAAAATACAGTTTGGACGAACTTTACTGACATTTGTGAAATTAATTATTTTCCTAGAGATACTTACTTCTTACTTGTTTTTTTTTAAATAATCGAGATAGTTTTGGTCTATATAAAATTAAAGATAAACTAGAACTATGAATTTGTTCTTCGCTTTTTTTTTCCTCTAGGAGAAGCGAGAGGGCTTTGTGTGGATATTATGCTTAATATTATTAAGCTTTAGAATCAAACTTCTTACGCCTTGAATCAAACTTCTACAAATTATAGTTCCGCTATATTATATTTTTAATATTCTCTTCTGTGTGCTACAAATTAAGAGTAGGAATAAAATACTGTTTCCAGATTATTTTTCTGTGAAGGTAATGTTTATGTTATGCAGAAGGTTTATTTAAACCAAAATTATGTACAATTTGAGTATTTCTAACATGAACTTATTTCTCTGACAAAAATTCTTCAGCGTCATTTTATAACCCATGAAAACAGAAGAAAACCATACAAAATGACGAAGCTTTGCCTAGAACGTAACTTAAAAAACTGTAGTTTGTGAACACAAGCTATTTACAAATAAGAAAATTTCTTTCCCCTTTTAGAGACTTTTCCAGATAATTCATAGTGCCTCTGGATGACGTGCTACGGTACAACAGTTGCCATGTTCATGATGAAAGGAAAAAAAAGTATCTCTCCAGAATATGGGAGAACGTTTGTACTTTATTCGTAAACACCTATCCAGATAAATTATTATTTTAGGTAATACATGTACTACTGAGTATATTTATTTAAAAAAAACAGTGGTTTTCCTTTTTTTATTTCGAAGGTGAAGTTTAGTTGAAAGCAAAACCAGGCTGCAATTGAAATGCAATTATTCATATCTAATAATGTCAATCAGTACATTTTTTAATGTTCCTGTAAAGCAGAAAGAATAATTTTAATTTCAAAAGCTCACCAACTTTGTACATTATTAAATTAATCCTTTATATGACACGATGCTCATGAAGAAACTTTGTAGGCTTATTTTCTTTTCCCGGAAAGAGCATAAATGTTTCTTGTAGTTCGAGAAAATTAATAATTTTTGTCTGTCCAGCAATCTAATTTTCTAAACATATGAAGGCATAATTTCTTTGTACCCCTTTAAACATTCCTACAGGAATGAAACCAGTTGCCTTCTTGGGAATTAAATATTGAAATCCTTGCTAAACATACATACCTCGGACAGAGGTGAATAATAATTAACATTTGCTGATTAAATATGCATTTGTCATACGTGCTTCTGAATAAACAGGAAACTTTTAAGTTACAAGAATTAATGTTATGGTTAACAAAATATTTGAAATGAAACCACTACAAATATGAATTGGAAGATAAAATATCGCCGTGGAATGAGGTATGAAACACTTACATCTAAAATACATTCTTCTAAAGTGAACAGAATATATATATATATATATATATATAT